TCTCTCTCTCTCTCTCTTTTTATTTTATTATAAAAACAAATTGAAGCCACATTTCTGTAGTTGCCTGCACGTCTGCGAGGCGGATTAACAAACGTAAACCAGATCACGGTGGCCGCTAACATGGCTGACCGTGTCCGTGTTTGCTCTGCATGTGAGACCTTGAAGTAGGGCTGCACAATTAATCGAAATTAAAATATGCATATAAAAAAATATGGTTTTTTTTTTTGCATAAAGGTCAAATGTGGGTCAAAATGGCATTAAAATGAAGTAGTGCAGTTCAGGGCTGCACAGTGTGGTAAAAACGTAATAGTGGGATTATTGACAGATGTGGCATTTGTGATATGATTCACACTCAGAGCGGGAATGATCATTTTTGCATCACAGATGTAATTTCCACTGCAAAAGCTTTCAGATCATGATAACATGTTGTCTCCCGTCTGTATCAAACAAACATAGTTTCTTTAAATCTACGCCTTGACCTTAAATCTCCAGAGTTCAGTCAGTGAAAACCAACACCGATCATGAATCATAGTGTGTGATGTGATTGTTTAGTTGCCACATCGTGCAACTTGAATCAAGTGTAAAGTGTGCTGTTTTTGTTAACAGGGACGCTGATGATGCAGTCTACGGGCGCGATGGTTACGACTACGATGGCTACAGACTGCGTGTGGAGTTTCCTCGGAGCGGCAGGGGCTCGAGAGGCGGGTTTGGTGGCATCGGCGGAGCTCCCAGGGGCCGATACGGGCCTCCATCCAGACGCTCAGAGTACAGGGTCATTGTGTCGGGTAAGCATGCAAACTAGGCTGTGGTTTATTTGCCTACAGATAGGAGGTCGTTGTGCTGTTTGGAGGACTGTTTTGCTGAATCTCTCTTCTTTTTTTTAACTTGAGTTACTTCACAACAAACTCTGCTCGAGGTTTCCCCCTCCAGTTTCTTGTGCGCTACATTAAAGGCAGTAAAATACTTTGAATGTGGGTCATGCTTGCAGATGTACATTATGAAAAACACCTGGGGGGAGCGCTAGTGTCGTCCACTACGTTTACGAGCCTGATAGTCAGAGAAAGTAAGTCCGGGGAGAATATCAACCCTTAATTTGGTGTGTGTAGTGTTGAAACTGGATTTGGGT